CTTTTGTTCTTTCTAGAGTTTCTGGTGAAACATGACTAGTTCTCCTTTTGAACGTCTCCTTCTGTTATCCAGAACGTTGACCGGTCTCTGCCATATTGATTTATTTTTATTGAACAAATCCCACCTGATCCTCAGAGTTAGTCAAGTCATCTGGTTTCAGGATTTTGTTAATTGGAGTTAATTAGTTTGCAAATGAAGCATAGAATACTCTAGGAAGAATGAGTAGTATTTTAGCAATCATTTCTTTGTAGCTCAATCATCCTGTGAGCTCGTTTGATAGTCACCCTGCTGAGTTATTGCAAGTATCAAGAGGTTGTAGCAGTGGGCTTCTTTGTCACGCACCTGCTGAGCTTAGTGATGCTGAAATTTAGTCACCTGTTGTGCTCACTGCTCGGATACTGATTTCTTCTTTATTGAAAGTCTGAGATAGACTTTCTTGGATCTTGATGCTTCATTTCTTGTTGATTCAGGGTATCTTACCTTTAGCAGGTGGCTAGCCCTGAGAGTTCCCCCTCAGCAGGTGGCTAGGAATTGCCCCTTGTTTTTGGAATTAAGTTCCCCCTGAATGGGTGCATGGGTATTCCTGTTTTGATCATCATTCCAAGCTCTTGTCAAGATGTTTTGAATCTTGTTTCATTCACTTGCTTGGTTTGATGTAGAAACCTTGTGGAGTTAGGTTCCATTTGTAGTCCCAAGAAGTAGTTCAACTCTCCTTTTAGGCTCACCTCAAAGTAGGCTTGAGAGTTGAAAGATTTAAAGAGTGTGTGGGGGCCTTCTACAATTTTAAATAGAGTTTTGTCTACTTTTCCCTTAATGAATACTTTATTCACTAAGTATTCAGAGAGAGTGTCATACTATGCTCTTGGGGCTTGCTTGAGTCCAAAAAGAGCCTTGTGTAATTTGTAGACTTGATCCTTCTCTCTACTGACTTCAAAATCAGGAGGTTGCTCCACATAGACCTCCTCTTCTAGTAGACAGTTGTTAGGAAGGCATTTTTCACATCCATTTGATAGGTTATGAGTTGCTCATGGGTAGCATATGCTAAGAATATCTTTATAGTTTCAAATGTGCAACTGTGGCAAGGGTTTCATCAAAATCTATTCCTTCTTCTTTGTAGTACCCTTTGTCCACTAATTTTGCTTTCTTCTTAACAATGATGTCTTCCTTAGTCACCCTTATTGTTTCTATCATATGTTGATGATAGGGTCTTCATACAAGCTTCAAAGATTGTTCCTGTTGAACTAGCTTGTATCCAGTCAGATGTTTGTAGGGCTTCTTCAGTCCTTTTGGGTTCTGTTTGAGAGAGGAAGCAAATATTGCTTCTTTCTGGATTGATGATCTTGTACGAACCCTTTGGATAAATATTTTGATGAGGAGGGTGATGGTTGAATCATCTTGTGTCAGATGTTTGAATGAATTGAGTTACCTGCTCATCCTCCTCTTTTTCTGGTAGAGTAAGAGGATTGGGATTATTAAGCCTTGTGCTTAATTCAGCTGGAGCGTCTTGAGGAGTTGATTTTAGAATGAGTCAGTAGCTCGCAGTGTCGTATATTTTGAGTCAACTGCTGGCAGTGATCTTTCATTTGAGTCACCTGCTAGCAGTGATCTGCCATTTGAGTTCACTGCTGGCAGTGGACTGCCATTTGAATCAATTGCTGCTTCCATACTCCAGTCTTTTTGTTGACTTTTGCTGGGAAGGCAGCTTGGAGCCTTTCCGGTATCCTTCTTTCTTCTACCAGTTAGCACAATTTTGTTGCTTTGGACATCTCTGATCAAGCAGATGTCCATGGAGAATGTCACATTATGAATGTTATCGCGGAGCTGGCTTGTGCTTTATGAGTTTGAACTTCAATCCCATATGATATGTTTTGGATTGAAGGACTGCATTTGATATATAAGGGTGAGATCACATAAAAACCATGTTTAACTTACTAACCTACAAACTCAATAAAATGCAACACTTTGAACTTCAACATGCAGTATAAATAATGTAGAGATGCATTCTTTGAATTTCAATATGTAATACGAATAATGTAAATATGAAACTGTTATTTTATGGCTTGAATATTATGAAACACTTTGAACTTCAATGAGCAATTTAAATAATGTAAAGATGATTTGAATGAGAGGACTAGTTTGTATGTAATCTCACCCCTGCATCTTTACATTATTTTTACTGCATATTGAAGTTCAAAGTGATGCATATTACTGAGTTTGTAGGTTAGTATTTTAAGCATGGTTTGTATTCGATCTCTTATATATATATATATATATATATATATATATATATAAATTCTCAGGTCCAGCAGCTTCTGGTCCGAACACCGCCGTTTGGGGCGGTTCCCGGTGGAATTGTTTGATGAAATTTTGTGGGCATGTTCCTCATCAAGTCTAGTTTATCCATACCAAATATCAGCTCAAAATTCAATAGAGAAAGCAGTCAAATAATTTGATGAATTTAACTGCGCAAAATTATACATAGAAAAACGCAGTTAACTTCAACGAATTATTTGACTGCCTTCCCGATCGAATATTAAGCTGAAATTTTGTATGGATAAACTAGACTAGATGAGGAACATGCTCAAAAACGTTCATGAAAAAGTTCCACCAGGAACCGCCCCGAACGGCGGTGTTCGAACGGCGTTCGGACAGAAAGCTGCTAGACAGGAGAATGACTATATATATATATATATATATATATATATATATATATATATATATATATATATATATATATATATATATATATATATATGCAACAAAAATAATGTGAAACACTTTGAACTTCAATATGCAATACAAATAATATTCAACACTTTGAACTTCAATATGCAGTACAAATGATGTAAAGATGCACAGTTTGTGACAGTTTCTAGGTTAGCATGGGAGGACTAGTTTGTATGTGATCTCATATATATAGGTGAGATCACATACAAACTAGTTCTCCCATGCTAACCTACAAACTGTCACAAATTATGCATCTTTACATTATTTGTACTGCATATTGAAGTTCAAAGTGTTGCATATTATTTGTATTGCATATTGAAGTTCAAAGTGTTGCACATTATATATATATATATATATATATATATATATATATATATATATATATATATATATACATATATATATAGATATATATATATATATATACATATATATATAGATATATATATACATATATATATATATATGTAACATATATATATATATATTCTAGTAGTTATTTTGGAAAATATTAAATGTATAACAACACTATATTTTGGAGTAGTAGTTATTCCATCATAAATAATAGGGATAAAGTACGGAAAAAGTACTTGTGGTTGGCCCCATTTTCAGATAGGGTCATGTGTTTCATTCTTTATCAAAGTAGTTCATGTGTTTGAATTACGTTATCACAAGAGGGTCACGCCGTTAAAAATGTCTGAAAAAGACCGTTAAAAGTAATTCCGATTTTCAAAAGTGCCCGAAAAATTAAAAGAAAAATATCAAGGGGTTCGCCTCGTCAAGATGACCTTCAAACCACCTTCGCCTTTGGATTTTTCAGATCTGTTTGAATTATATTTTAAAAATGATTTCGCTAATATCATTTTTCCGATGGACTTTCCGGTGACAAGGGTGGCTAAAAACAAAAAAGAAAGATGGCCTAGCGGTCAGCTTATTGAGGCGCACCTTCCGATATTTTTCTTTTAACGGTCTTTTTTAGACGTTTTTAACGGTGTGATCCTCTTGTGGTAACGGAATTCAAACACATGAACCACTTTGATAAAGAATGAAACACATGACCCTATCTGAAAACGGATTCAACCACAAGTACCTTTTCCGTACTTTCCCCTAAATAATATTTTACACGTAATAATATGTTATAGAGTAGTATTGGAATGAGAACTAAACAAATTTTAATCAAAAGAAAAAAAAGAAACGAAACTAAGAGAGATGGGAAATAAGATAAAATTACACTAGGGAGACTAAGGACTAGAAAGTTTTAATTGGGTTTGACTATTACAAAGTATTAGAAATTTAAAATAATTTACTAATTTTAAACGGGACACCGAGACGGGACATGCAATGATATTTTATAGTTATCCGTGTCCCGTCCCGGTTAATATCGGTATGGGATCGGTTCGGGATGAAAACATTGCATCCTAAATGGACCAGGATAGTTTCGGAACGGTATCGGGATTTTTCGGTTTGGGACATCGGGACTGGGATTTTTGCCCACCCCTAGTATGCATTCATATCTCTAAATTTACGTGACATGCATGTCTATTACTGCGTACGTAATATTATTTAAAAAAGGTTGATTGTGCATTGGCAACGACATACTATCCTCCGTTCCATAAAAGTTGCAACAGTTTGACTTTCACGTTTGTCAACACGCAACTTTGACTATAATTATATTTATTTGCGTATTAGTAAACATTAAAAAAAGTTAATATATTGGAAATTTACATTAATACAAATTTATTAATATTTTACACATAATATTTTTATTATATATATTATTAGAAAATCGTAGTCAAAGTAAGGTGTGTGAATAGTGCAGAAATTCCAATGTTGCGACTTTTATGGAACGGAGGAAGTATAAATTTGATGGCCTATGGTGTTCTTTTATGGGGTCACTGTTTTGTTATTTAAAAACAACGATTTAAGGAAAATAAAATCAGTATTATAATTTGGGCATATATTTTAATGCTCTATGTGCAACTGTTATAATGCCCTGACTTTAGCATTAAATTTTGTGTGCATGTTAATGTATCTTGTTGATAGAGTATATAGAATCGAACCCCCGGGTCTCATGACTATTGTCCCAGACAACGGCCCACTCACGCTTATCGGATGTCATTTATATCATTTGTTTTATTTTAGAATTCATATATCATTTGTATGTATTAGATTAGTCTTTTATGTAGTTGGGCCTATCGGGCCCATATTAGCGGCTCGGCCTATTATTTGTCTATTTATACTCCCTTTGGGAGACTTGTAACTCTGGTTCAGAATTCCTAGAACCAATATTCACACACATTTCTACTATTCATTCATCGTCTTCACTTTCATAGCTCAATCTCTCCTTTTAATTATATGTTTGGATCCCTATAATCCATCAATGGTGCTCTCGTCGAGAGTTTGAGCAAATCAAGTGAGAAATCCTTCCAAAAAACATCTAATAATTCATCCCATTTACAAGAAACCAGTCAAAATCTGTTCTGGAAATTCAGCAAGAAAAAAAAATATGGAACTGCAACACCTCCGTGGAATAATGTCGGTCGCAGTTCTGATATACTTCAACACCTCCGTGGAATCTACCTCCACCTGAAAGTCATGGAAGCCCTCAGTCGTCGCCCATTTTGTGGCATGAATCAACGATCGAAGTTCCGCTTCCGGAGGAGATGAGGCCTGAATCGGAAAAGATGCTGTTAAGACCATCTGACCTTCTTCGTTCCTCAGGATAGCCCCTCCCGGTGCACCCTGAGGACTGTAGCCGCCAGCGGGTGGGCCGGAATTCGCTGCCGTCGCTCCAGACCTCGCTACCCCTGCTCTTCCTGCGGTCACAACTCGAAGGTTGGGATGTAGACCAGCGACGACCATGGAGATCCGTCGGGCACGACTGTCGAGAACGTCCCCTCTGTCCAACAGTATCTAGATCTGGGTCTTCCCTTCTCCTATCGAAGCAAGGACGGCTGCGGCACTTCCCCCTTTTTCTTCGGTAAACACCCGTAGGCAGCCAAAGTAGTCATCTACTCATCTGTCCTAAGAACGAGTGGGCTACCACTTCAAGATTCTCAAAAGCTAATGGGCCACAATTTCGACATCAGTCCATCAAATCCAGCCCACTTAAAAGCTAAATGCACAATACTCATATTTATACACTTGAAATATTTATTAAATGATAGTAGTATAATTATTACTATTATTAATTATATTATTTCCACCACCATTATGGTGGGTTAAAATCCCCCGAGGTGGTGAGGATCATTATGGCGGATTAAAATTTCCCGGTATCGCTAACGATGCATTATTATTGACGTTATTATTATTATCACCACCATTAGAGCGGGTTAAAAAACCCCAAAGTGGTGAATCCAAGATCTAGTCTACCGAACATCTTTATTTGATGATTCGGATTATATTTAGGTCCATCGACCTACCCTAGTTACCTTTATTTGGTGACTCGGGCACCTAAAAAAGAGGGCCGCTATCGGCCGCATACAGCATTATGACTAAAAGCGGTAAACGATACACCTCTTTCTCCGAGACGCTAATCGCGTCGCCCAAATGCCGTTGCCATGAACAACGCACCTATTATGTTCCGCTTATTTGGTAAATTTTTGCAAAAGATACTGCATATCATATCGTCCCCTTAGAGCGAAACGCTCAGGTATGACCGACACAGCACATCGTATCAACCCCATAGAGCGAAACGCTCAGACATGGCCTACGATGTCCCAGGACGAGGGGCCGCAAACGGCCCACATCTTGAAATGGGAAGCTCACCGCGTCGTCCTCGCGCTAGACCATACATGCGGATCAGACGAGCGCCCAGCGCCGTCCCTCATCTTCAGACGAGCGCCCAACGCTGTCCGTCATCTTCAGACGAGCGTCCAAGCCTAGTCCATCATCGGATCGGCTCCGCCGTCCTTCATGTTCAGTCCGGCGTCAACGCCTTGCCCTTCCTCACATCACGACCAGCCACTTGGTTATGGCGTGATGCTCTATCTTAAGACCGGTCTTAGCCATTCCTTTACCGGATGGCGACCGTTGCATGGATTATAAGACCGGCTCCTCATCGCCGTTGTACTCACATCATGACCGGCCCCTCGGCCTCGACATGATTATCTATCTCAGGACTGGCTTCCTAAACGCCAACAGTCTTGAGCTAGCGATCGGGCTCACCATCCCTTCCTGGATGGTGACCGTCACCTTTATATGACGGCCGGATCATCATCGCCCCGTCATCATATTTCGGATTGGCTCCTTCTCATCGCCATCCGCACATCACGACCGGCCCCTCGGCCTCGGTGTGATTATCTATCTCAAGACCGGCTTCCTCAGCGCCGAGAGTCTTGAGCTAGCGATTGGGCTCGCAATCCCTTCCTGGATGGTGACCATCGCCTTTATATGACGGTCGGCTCATCATCGCCCTGTCATCATATTTCGGATTGGCTCCTTCTCATCGTCATCCGCACATCACGACCGGACATCGCCCTTGGCATGATTATCCATCTCAAGACCGACTTCCTCAACGCCGAGAGTCTTGAGCTAATGATCGGGCTCACCGTCCCTTCCTGGATGGTGACCATCGCCTTTATATGACAGCCGGCTCATCATCGCCCTGTCATCATATTTCGGATTGGCTCCTTCTCATCGCCATCCACACATCACGACCGGCCCCTCGGCCTCGGTGTGATTATCTATCTCAAGACCGGCTTCCTCAGCGCCGAGAGTCTTGAGCTAGCGATTGGGCTCGCCATCCCTTCCTGGATGGTGATCGTCGCCTTTATATGATGATCGGCTTCATCAGCACCGTCGTCCTCATATTCAGACAGGCGTCCACCGTCTAGTCCTCATATTCAGACCGGCTCATCAGCGTCGTTGTCCTCATATTGTACCGGCTCCTCAGCGCCGCCATCCTCATATTCAGACAGGCGTCCACCGCATAGTCCTCATATTCAGACCGGCTCATCAGCGCCGTCGTCCTCATATTCAGACAGGCGTCCACCGCATAGTTCTCATATTCAGACCGACTCATCAGCGCCGTCTTCCTCATATTGGACCGACTCCTCAGCGCCGCCATCCTCATATTCCGACAGTCGTCCACTGCATAGTCCTCATATTCAAACCGGCTCATCAGCGTCGTCGTCCTCATATTCAGATAGGCGTCCACTGCCTAGTCCTCACTTTCTAGGGCTGGGAGTTGGAACCATAAAACCGGGAAACCGATCTTAACTGAACTGAAATTTCCGGTTCGGTTCGGTTCCTATAATTTTGGACTTCAGCTTTTTCATTGTGGTTCCTATAGTATTTCATCGGTTCGGTTCCGGTTCGGTTCCGGTTCCTAGCCAGGAACCGAACTTCTTATACATTGCATGAGTAATCTTCATTTGAGGTGCTTCTGGGTGGAGTTTTTTGATGAAATTTTGTGAGCTTGTTGTTCATAAAATAATGATTATGTTCACCAAATTTGAGGTTAAAATGAAACCGGGAATTCAGTTAAATAAATCATTGAAAGGCATTACGCCAAAATACTTATAAAAACACAATGTTTTTCAATATTTTATTTAACTCATTTCCCGATTGCATTTTGAGCTAAAATTGGGTATGTATAATCTACATTTCATGTAGAACATGCTCACAAAAGTTTATCAAAAAATTCTACACGGAAGCACATCAAATGGAGGTGGCAAGACGGCGTTCCGCGCAGAAAATATTTGTCAAAAAAAATTGTTTTGCATAATATACCTTATATATTGTGGATCAGGCCAATCCGAGTAGTTGTTATTTTAATACTTTAGTCCACTTTTATATTTATTGTTTTTTTGTAATTTTATTTGTTATTGGAGTTAACCTCAAAAAGGAATTAATATTCTATTGATTACGTTGTTTATTACTATGTACTTTTTACTTATTGTGCATTACTAGTAGAAGAATATTATTTTGGGGTTGAACTACCTGCTATTGGATGTGTACTTTGGAGTTATTGAACCTTTTTGCTTGACGATTGATGCCTATTTTAAACCAAGATTTTTGTTAAGTTTAAATTTAATGTTGCACTTGCATTTTTTATATTGGAACATTGAGATATCATGCATGTATAATGTAATGGTCATATTTTCATGATTTAAAATTTGAATTTTTTTATGTAACTGGAGGTAAAATGTGTTCATTTTAGGAGGATAATAAGTTTTTATAAGTACCCGAAAAAATGTAAAAACCGAACCGAATTTAACTAGAACCGAACCGAATTTAACAACTACATTTTTAACTAGAACCGAACCGAATTTAACGTCTACGATTTTTATACGGTTCCATCGAATTTTAACAAGAACCGAACCGATCACGGGCCTATCATATTCAGACCGGCTCATCAGCATTGTCATCCTCATATTCAGACCGACTCTTCAGCGCCGTCGTCCTCATATTCAGACTGGCGTACACCGCCTTGTCCTCGTATTCAGATATAGCGAACATCTTGCGGTCTCTGGCTGAAAGGCTAAAGGAGCCCAGAGTTCAGCCACAGGCCCAATCAGCCATATATCGCTCTGTCATCTTTATTTGATGATGCGAAGCTCATTTACAGGCCCAATCGGCCATATACCGCCCCATCATCTTTATTTGATGACGCGAAGCTCATTTACGGGCCCATCGGCCACATATTGCTCTGTCATCTATATTTGATGGCGCGAAGCTCATTTTCGGGCCCATCGGCCATATATCGCTCTGTCATCTTTATTTGATGACGCGGAGCTCATTTACGGGCCCATCGGCCACATATTGCTCTGTCATCTTTATTTGATGGCGCGAAGCTCATTTTCAGGCCCATCGGCCATATATGGCTCCGTCATCTTTATTTGATGACGCGAAGCTCATTTACGGGCCCATCGGACACATATTGCTCTGTCATCTTTATTTGATGATGCGAAGCTCATTTTCGGGCCCATCGGCCATACATCGCTCTGTCATCTTTATTTGGTGACATGAAGCTCATTTACGGGCTCATCGGTCATATATTGCCCCGTCATCTTTATTTGATGACGTGGAGCTCTCATACAGGCCCTCGGTCATACATTGCCTCGTCATCTTTATTTGATGACGTGGGGCTCTCATATAGGCCTCTCGGCCATATATTGCCCCGTCATCTTTATTTGATGACGTGGAGCTCTCATACAGGCCCCTCAACCATACATCGCCTCGTCATCTTTATTTGATGATGTGGGGCTCTCATATAGGCCCTCAGCCATACATTGCCTCGTCATCTTTATTTGATGACATGGGGCTCTCATATAGGCCTCTCGGCCATATATTGCCCTGTCATCTTTATTTGATGACGTGGAGCTCTCATATAGGCCCATCGACCATACATCGCCTCATCATCTTTATTTGATGACTTGGGGCTCTCATATAGGCCTCTCGGCCATACATCACCCCATCATCTTTATTTGATGACGTGGAGCTCTCATATAGGTCTCTCGGCCTTACATCGCCCTGTCATCTTTATTTGATGACGTGGAGCTCTCATATAGGCCTCTCGGCCATACATCGCCCCGTCATCTTTATTTGATGACGTGAAGCTCACATACAGGCCTCTCGGCCATGCATCGCCCTGTCATCTTTATCTGATGACGTGGAGCTCTCATACAGGCCCCTCGGCCATGCATTGCCCCGTCATCTTTATTTGATGACGTGGAGCTCTCATATAGGCCTCTCGGTCGTACATCGCCCCGCCATCATTATTTGATGGCGTGGAGTTCTTATATAGGTTCATCGGCCATATATCGACCCGTCATCTTTATTTGATGATGTGGATCTCATACAGGCCCCATGGTCATACATCTGCCAGTCATCTTTATTTGATGACCTAGACATCACATTTTGGACGGTCACTCGAACTATCTCTTAGTCATCTTTATTTGATGAATTGGACTAGTTATCATGTCGAGCTACTCACATCTAGAGACTGATCTCGGTCATCCCTCAACAGACGGACACCGGTGCAGCTCCACACCTAGCCCGA